CCGCCCGTCCGTCAGCGCGGCGCGGCCTGCCATTGGCCTCTCACAGCCGGGCCACGCCCCGGCCCGCTGGCGCTGCGGTTGGCCTGGCGGCCCGTCGGTCAAGAGCCGTGGCCGGGCGGGGCTTCCGGGAGCAGCGCGGAGGGGGCTGGCAGCCCGGGTGGGTCCGGGCGGTTTTGTGGCCCTTGTGCAGATATTGTACAGGAGCAGGACTTAAGGTCCGGGGCGGCGTCCTCTCTCCAGAGGGCTCCTCCGGAGACGGGCCGGATTCGCGGGTAGAGGGAGGCATCCCGCGGAGTGTCTGTCCTCCCTAGCCCACCCCGACGCCGCACACAGCCGGGCCCACGCCGCCCCCAACCCTCAGCCCCCAGGACGAAGGTGCAGTCCGGCCCTGGAGTGGGGACGAGCGGCCTTTGGCAGAGGCCGAGCTTCAGGGAGATCAGGTCAGCACCGCGAACGCCCCCCACCGGCGGCTGAGGGCCGAAGGTCGGCGTCCGGAGCGGGACAGCATCCGGGCCAGGAGCCCGGAAACCCCCAAGCTCTCTCTGTAGCGCCTCGGCTGCGGACGGAGGAGCCCCGAGCGCGGCGATCCTTCCCGGCTTCAGGTGCCCGCGGGATCTGGCTGGCCGGGGCGGCTGCACCCCTACTCCGATCCTGGAACGCCCCCGCGCCAGGACCCTCAGGCGGCGACCAAGCCGTGCGCCTGGGTCTGGGGGTGCAGAGGGCGCCCCCTGGCCGAACAGGGACCTTGCTCCTCGGTCACTTAGCGCACAGCCTTGCCCAGGCGGAGACCACAGCCCTGCGCATGGCTCTGGGGGTGCAGAGGGCGACCCCAGGCGGAGCAGGGACCTTGCTCGTCACTCACACAGCCTTGCCCAGGCCCCTCCTCCACCCTCCCAGCCCCTCAGGGCCCCCAGCCTGGAAGCCCCGACGCTGCAGGAGCTCACAGTGCGGCCCATTTAACACTCTTGCGTGTCTGGGCCCCAGGAAACCGACAAGCTTCCCCTTCAGCTCCCAAGACGCTCAGATACTTTTAAATTCTTCTGATTTCAAAGTAATGCGCGAATAAAACACAAACCCGCTGCTGTGGAGTCCGGCTCTGCGACCCTATAGGGCTGAGTAGAACTGCCCCAGTTTTCCAGAACTGATCGTTTCTCCAGCGGAGCGGCTGGTGGGTTCGAACTGCGGACCTTTCGGTTGCAGCCGAGCGTTTTAGCCACCGCGCCACGAGGGCTCCTTCTAATACACGGACACACCCTCCTAGTTTAAAACAACGGATGCAGAACAGTTAAGACCAAGAGTTTCCCCTGCAAACCGAGCAGCCCTTCCCTGCCCCTTCCCCTCTTGCCCATGGGATCCACGGGCCACTCTGCGCGCAGGACGGCCCTCCCACAGCGGCCTCTGCTGTTCCCGCCGGTCGAACTCGCCATTCCGGGGCCTCCCCACCCCGCTGCTTTCCCCGCCGCGGCGTCTGGGGGCGGAGTGAGAGAGGAGTCGCTGAGAACAAGGGCAGCGCCACCGAGCTGCCTTGTATCACCCCGCCGGTCACACTTCGCGTGGAGGCAGATCCCGCAAGGCCCAGCCTCAGGGGTGACCTGGCACCTGGGAAAGGGCGCGCGCGTCTCCAGCCACATGCGGCCTTCGGTAGGCCCCGCGCCGGTGAGGGGCGCGCCCTGTGACACCCCAGCGCGCCGGCGGCCAGAGAGGGCTCACACCTGGTCGGCCTCCCTTCCGCCGGCTCCCCAGCGCCAACCCAGGGGGCAGAGCTGCGAAGTGCGCCTCCGCGTCTGCCGGTCATCAGGTCACCAAGCCCCTACCCCGTGAGGCCTCAGGTGCGCGGGGTCCCCACCTGCGGTCCCTAACAACCGTTGCTGGAGGGGGCTCAGCTCAGCGGGGCAGCCCCTGCGGGAGAGGTTCCCGCGGACCCTGAAGGTTGGAGTATTCAAATAAGGCCACGCCCCCGTTGCCTTGGCGCCGCGTGGCCACAACCCGCGGCCGGAGGAACAGCCCAGAGTGCAAGAGAGCCCGGCAGCGGAGGGGACCCTGGGCCTAGCCCCCTGGGTGGGGCGCCCGGCTGAGTCCGCAGGTGAGAGTCAGCGTCCAGGGCCGGGGCCAAAGGCCGCGCTACCCCCCTCACCCCATTTTGCCAGTGGGAGAAACAGGCAAACCGACAGGCACCAGTGGGGAGCAGCGGAGCCAGAGGGGGGCCCAGTGATGGCCCCAGGGGTCAGATCTAGTATGCCTGGACCCTGGCCACAGCCCCCTGGCCACGGTCTAGGGAGCCAGGAGGGGCCCTGAGGCCTGTCCTTGGGGGGAGAAACAAGACCCAGACCCAGACTCTTGGGAGTTTCCATGGTCCAGCTCTGAAGAGAGGAGCTGGGCCCTACCATGACCCCTGGGCCTGCACACCCAGGAGGAAGCAGGTCCTGCCATGGAAGCCCCACAGTGGAGGGGCTGAGGGTGGCGGTGGACTGTGGAGGAGAGGGAGAGCTGACTAGACTCAGGGAAGAGGCGAGGGGAGTTCCCCTGGTCTCCAACCTCCGGGATGTGGGCAATGCCTCGTTACCCAATAAGCAATGCAAGCTTGGTTACTGACCTGCGGTGTTCACACCAGAGACTCTGCTTTTAGGGGTGACTGGCATCTGTCTCTCCCAACCCCACAGCTCCTTCCAACAGAATCAAAGCCTTTTTTCAAATTTACAGTCCTTGGCAGGGACAGAGTACCCAGTCAGCAAGATAAGCACCAAAGCAAACCAAGCCCACGGCCGTCCAGTCAGTTCCAACTTATATGGCCTTTTAGGACAGAGTAGAACTGCCCTGAGGAGCTCTGGTAGCATAGTGGCTAAGGCACTTGACCGCTAACCAGAAGGCTGGTAGTTCAAACCCATCAGCCACTCCTCGGAAGGAAGATGGGACAATCTACTTCCATAGTGATACTGCCTCAGAAACCCAAGGAAGGGTCACTATGAGTCAGGTCCTACTCCACGGCACATAACAACAATAGAACTGCCCTGTAGGGTTTCCAAGGCTGTACATCTTTATGGAAACAGACTGCCTCATCTGTTTCCCACAGAGCAGTTGATAGGTTAGCAGTGAAGCTCTTTAACCTCTGAGCCACCAGGGCTCCTTATGGAAAGCACGGGACCTGTGAAATTGTTGACTACAGATTAGTCAGTAAGCACAAGTAAGCCCATGCACACGATGCACACGTTGCTTACTGGGTGCTCCACCCTGGGTGGGGGGATGGTGGAGTAGGAGGTTCACAGACCGCAGGTGCCTGTGAATCTGACAGGAGTTGTGACAGGCGTAGAACCCAGGCCTGACCACTGGCCCCCGGGCCTTTGGGCTCAGACGGAGCCTCAGGTCAGCTGCTGCCCATGCTGGATGTCCCCCTGCCCAGTTGTCCTCCTCCCCGGGGAGGCTGGGGCAGGCCTGTGGGAAGAGGCGCAGTGACAGCACCTCCCCAGGGGATGTGGCAGTGGGGTCTCACCAGGGCCTTGCCGCAGTTGGAGAAAGCCAAGCAGCAGGTGGGATTCTGCGAGGAGGTCCTGAACGGAACCCGCACAGCTCCACGTGGGCTTCCCCCCCCGATGGCTGGAGACTCCTTCCTCCTTGGGCGTGCCAGCCCTTTCACAGACAGA